ACCGTTACCAGAAGCACCAAGGAGATTAAAATACATGGTCGTGGCGGTGGATTATTTTACAAAGAGGATTGAAGTGGAGCCGTTGGCATGCATAACAGGAAGGCACATGATTAAGTTTATCTGGAAAAACATCATGACTAGGTTCGGCACGCCTAAAATACTGATAAGTGACAACATGCTCCAATTTGCTGAAAACCCGTTCAAAGAGTGGTGTTCTAGCAAGGGGATCAATTAGCGATTCACATCAGTGGCGCATGGAGCGGAGGAAATGCTTCCAGCAGAGGTGATAGGCACGTTAAGGACACGCCACACTGACGAAGAGGCCAACTCTCAAGACCTGAGGCTGAATCTAGATACCCTTGAGGAGAGGCGAGAGAAGGCAAGCATACGCCAGGCAGCATACAAACATGCGATAGAAAGATATTACAAGCAAAGAGTCAGGGAAAAAGCTTTCAGAGTGGGAGAATATGTGCTAAGAAAAAACGAGGCAAGTCGGGCTCGGCCTCAGGGTAAGCTGGGAACTGTATGGGAAGGCTTATATAGAGTTGTCATAGCAAACCAGAATGGGGAGTACGCCTTGGAAACGATGGAAGGAAGACAGATACCAAGAACGTGGAATGCAAAGAATTTGAGGAAATTCTACTTTTAAAAGAAAGCTCCCATGAGAGGGTGACAAAGCCAGGTTATTTCTCTAAGCGAGTGTCAGTGGATGGATCAAGCGCAAAAACGTAAGAGACCAAGATCGAGACTTAAGTGTTTAAGCACCTTACAAAAGATAGGTTCTGTTACTCGACGTCTTTAAAGCCTTGTACTTAGTGTGCAAATTTAATCAATCAAAATGATGAAACATGTATTTAGTGTACTGAACTCTTAATTTTATGATTGAGGCACGCAATGCTCAGTGCATTAAGTCCTAAATTCTGGCGGATTAAATTATAATGCTTAGTTCATTCAGTATTAATAATTAGTGTATTAACTACCCCATGTATTAAATTCTAGTGCATTCATCCTTAAGACTTAGTGTATTAAACCTTATGATCAATACATACGAGGCTCAGCACATCAGCTTATGTGGATGCTTAGTGCGTCGAGCCATCAATGCATAACCCTTACACTCAGCATAAGGTCGAACGCTTAGAGCGTGGTCCTGTGACATTAATCAATCTAGCAACTAACAACATATAGAGTAATGAACACATAACAACCGCATATCATAAACCATCAAAAGTTAAATAGGAATAACATTATCAACAACGTAAAAAACAACCACACATGGAAGTCCATGACATAAACATCAAACAAAGCAGCAAACACACACAAGTTTTCATGCCCTATAGGGGTAGCATACAGAATCTACACACCTCCAATCACATCATCACCACCACCATTTCCATCACCATCTCCCTCAACATTAACATTACCACCTCCAAGCCCAACAACATCTCCCATGCCTCCAGTACTCTCAGAGACAATATCCTCAATACAACCTTGCTTACGAACAATAGTTATGGCATCCCTATAACCCTCATCACCCAAACAAGCATCGGCATCCAAATGACTTCCTGCACCAGCTCCACCACCACTTTCAATAAAAACATCCTCGTCACCAACAATAGTGTTGTTACCATGATCGACCCCTTCATTACCACCCGCCACATCTTTAGGAGTACCATCAGAACCATATAAAAGCGCAAAGATCACGACCCCCTGCATATCCAATTCACCTAATCCCAACAATGAAGCATGATCCATACTAGGAAATGCTAAGAGAGCCTCATTGACACTAGTAACAGAGCCAGAAGCGGGGGCATCGACAAGACCTCGGTGATCAGCATCATCCAGAGCCTTACGTACAGACTCCACTCCGGCAACAAAGGCGGCGTGATGAATGAGGCTCACCACCCCCGTAAACTCCGGATGCTTGATCAACTTATCCATGACTCGTACAAGCCCCATTCGTTATAGCCAATTTAGATCAAGCTGCACGACGTTCACATTTGACTGCAAATCAGTATGTAACGCCGTAAAAATTTGAACAATTTTTCACTTTTGAAAAAACCATGAAATATAGTTTGCATTCATAAATAAAAACATTGTATCAGTACAAAACCCTAAGATCAAAATAATTAAACTCCAGTGTTCGTGTGTACGAGTCATGCCGGCGCCTTCCCGCGATCATCGCTAGTACCTGAAACACATAACGCATAACACTGTAAGCATAAATGCTTAGTGAGTTCCCCAAAATACCACATATATCACACACACCTTTCCAGGCCATAGGACCTTCCGATCCCAGTGTCTCAGGGGATTTCCATCCTAGACTCGGTTGACCTTTCGGTTCGTATCATCTTGACATTCTGGCCCACATCATGCTCACATCACATAACATATCACATATAACTTACATCGCATATACATCATACAAATAAGACCCTTAGGTCACATACAATTACCCCATCGGGTAAGGCATAGTGAGAAGACTCACCTCAGACGTCTCGTAAATCTCTGACTCGGTATAAGTATTATCTAGCCTCCGCCTATTCATACAAAGTAAATACCCTCATAAACATAACACTCGAGGCTAGAATCGACCCTCTATTGTCATCCTCAGAAGGGTAAAAGACTATTTTACCCCCCTCTTGACTCAAGGACCCATTGTTGACCAAACCCTAATAGTCAACAAAAGTCAACGGTCAACTTTGACCCAACTCGCCGAGTGCACTCTGGTGACTTGGCGAGTACACACATGTCCACTAACTCTCTGTCCCGCTTGGTACGTCGAGTCCTATCCTATGCTCGACGAGTCACACCTGGCATGAATCGTGGGGCTACCCTGACTCAACTCGCCGAGTCTCAAAAACAGCTCAGCGAGTACCGCCTTGAACTCTAATCTTTTAACCCCCTTCTGACTCACTGAGTTATCCCTAACTCAGCAAGTCTATTTACTGAGTGATCTGCGTGGACCTTAACCCTACTCACCGAGTCCCAAGAACAACTCGACGAGTTCATGCCATGCACAAACTCTATTGATCTCCTGTGGTCAGATCTGTGCCCCTAATCCATAGATCTGGCCTTCCCAAGCATAAATGTCATGTAAAGTCTGAATCTTGATGCTTATAACTCAACCAATAAGCATCAAATGATGATTTTGTCCCAAATACCTTAACCCAAGGTCATGACCTCCATTTTTCTCCATAAATCTTGAAGAATAAGGCTCTCTGGACCTCTATGGGTCCAGGTACAAAGCCTCATCTACAGAAGGGACTATTTGGACCCCAAATCAACTTAGTCAAGGGTACAAGAAACCCTAAAACCACATATCCTTCCCAAAACAGAAGAAGAGTCGAAATAATACCACAAATGAATGATCTTAGTTTTTAGTCCTTAGAATAGCAACCTCCTTTGCTTTCCCTTGGCTAGAACCTCCTTCTTCTTACTAAATGACACCACAAAGACCAACAATGGTCACTCCTTGCTTCTCAAATGATCTGAGACTCTCTCTCTGGGGGTAGTAGCCACAATGGACGACCATAAGGGCCTTTAAATAGGTCCCAAGCCCTGGAAATCAGGGCTTCACTAAACAGCGTGGACTCGCCGAGTCCAGGAATGGACTCGCCTAGTCCGGTCATGAAATAGAATGAACAATCGCGTCCCTACTCGGCGAGTCTTGGCGCCAACTCGCCGAGTTCCTCCACAACTCCAAAAATTAAATGAATAATAATATACCTGGGAATCCGGATGTTACACATTCAAGACTTTCAACTTGAATCATTAAATGCTCGTTAAACTGAGAGAGAGAATCAACTTTTGCTTCCAAAATAGACCTGATCTCTTCCATGTCAGCTTTCTCAGAGGCAAGAAGCTGGTACTTCCGCTCCGAACATTGAAGATCATTGTTAAGTTCTGAAATACGATGCTCCAACTCAGTAACACGAGCCCCACAACTGTCGTGTGCCGTTTCCACCTCGTTGAACATCTGAATACACCGTGCTTCGGCAACAAGATAAAATATGGACTATGCAGCAGCTTAGGTCCTGTTATGGGAAAGGGTAGGACTACCCATAGCCTCCATATTAGCAACGATGATCGGAGGAAAGGCATGCCGGGCAAACTCCAAAGCGTTAGCACCAACAGAAAGACAAGACTCATTGTGAAGATTCCAAGAAGAGATAAAAGGAGAAGGCCCTTAAGGCTCCCCACCCAAGTCCTTGAGGGGATAAACATGAGTTGGATCTGGATCACGAAGGTCCTTTGAAGGGGAAGGATTGACAGAAGAAGAAGGAATGACTTGAGCAGGAACAATGGGTTGTTTATCCGCCCACCAATCCCTTCAGACTATGGAGTGTCATCATCAGGGATTACAACAACGGCCGCCGGTGACGAATAAATTGAACTCAAAAGGCGCGAAAAGCTACACCGAGTCTGAACTCACTTGGCAGCATTGGGCGCACCGACAACCGACTCCCCCATGGCCAGAATGGCCTTCCGCTTGGCTTGCATCCGCCAAGCATCAACGATAACATCATCCTTGCTATCCTCATCACCCTCGGAGGAAGTATTGTGAGCACCACCCAAAGGCATGACGGAGGAAAGAGGACGAATTGCAAGGGGGTTCACTTTGGCAAATGACAGATTTTCGCTCATCGATGGAGGAATAGGCGTAGCAGCAGTCAAAGCAAGCTGATCTAAGTGGCGGGGAGGAGGGAGACGATCAACCAGATCCACTTCTTGATGCTCCATTTTACCCTTGTAGCGTTTCCGGAGCACCTCATCCATAGACAAAGGAGACTCGTTGCCTGGAAATATCAAGACATCAAAGAAAGAGTCAGGAGGGGAAGACCTCCAAATATTAAAACCCTAGAACAGATAAAAAAAAAAGGAAAACATAGGTATGTACCACCAACGACGAGGAAGAAAACTGCCATTTTACCCCGACGCCTCCAAGACGGGCTCATTCCTACACTGGTGAGAAGGGCCTCAGAATAATCCTCGGGAGATACCTAGACATTTTTAAGAAAACCGGCCACACCCTGGTTATGGGGAAAGAGTTTGGGGGTAGTATCAGCAAAAGTATTAGCAAAGTAGTGTCTGTTACCCACCAAACCCTGATTAACCCAAAACCACTTGTCTTGCCAGTTTTTGGGCATCTGGCCGTCAGGCACTAGAGTATATCCTCCCCGACGAACGGAAAACATGTATTTATCAACAGAGCAACAAAAGTGGAAGAAGTACTTAAACACGAAGTAATCAGGAAGATACCCGTTAGCCCGATAGATCATTTCAAAAGCAACAACCTTATTCACAGCATTTGGTGTTAGCATTTGAACGCTGCAACCGTCCCTTTGAAGTACCTCCTCATTGAAATTAGTTAAAGGGAGACGAAGGCCAACATCTAGGGTTTTTTGGTAGATGCCGAGTTTTCTGGGAGGGGAGAGAGGATAGAAGAACCTGGTGAAGGAAACTCCACACCATCGAGAGAAGTGAGACCATAAGTGGTTTCAAGATACGAGTACTCAGAAGCAGAGTGCACAATGCCTGGGGGACTCGCCGTGGAAGGAAAGAAAAGAAAATGGAGTTGAAGAAGAAGAAGAATAGAAAGGAAAAAGAAACGTAGATAAGAAGATATGATGAACACTCTTATAAGAAAACAGAAAGGGCGGGATGTTCAAAATGTCTGACATGATGACGTAACTGTTGGCCATCATGAGCGGTCACGTTACCATTAAAATCGGAATGGAAAGCGAATGAGGAAACAAAAAGCGTAAGGCTATCAAGCCTAGAATGCCATATCTAGTAGTACAACGCTACGACTACTAGATTGGGGGACTTGATGACGTGTGTAAGCCGGCATGGAAGAGTCACGCCAGACCGAGAAACCTGGCACCCTGGTCGAGCCAAGAGAAGCGGGCTCAGATGTCACACCCCAAAACTGAGAACGGCAGAAACGTTCTGGGGCGAAGGACATCATGTATAGTATCACAACACAATATAATAGTAAACAAGCAAACAACATCATCGATTGCATTAAATATATAATTTTAATACAAGTGTGTTCTGTAGTATATAAGACACCAAAACCTAAATCAAAATATAAGATGAGTCTTGAATGCACTCAATCTTCTCAAAAGCTGGCATCGGTACCCGTCTACCGATGACCTGAGAATACAAGTTATTTTGAAAGAGTTTATCAGCATTAAAGCTGGTGAGTTCATAAGTATTTAGTGTCCATGTTTGTATCAAAATGTTTGAACCATTGTTTAAAGTCCGAGTTTGTAAACATTTGTAGTAAAAGTATGTGAATGTTTGTAAGTGTTTGTAAAAGTTTGTAACTCCTAGAAAATCCTATATTTTCTATTAAAAGTAGCCTTCTACCAAGGCACGACTATTTTGTATGTTTGTTTCTTGTAAAAGTGTGTAAATTTCCCAAATATAACTATCATTATCAAAATATAGTTTATTCATTAATGTTTAAATGAAATGATCACCAAATAAATGTAAAGGGTAAATTATTGTAGTATTGTAGTGTTGTATTATAGGAACTACTGTTGTCCTAATTAACTACCTTAAACCAAATTTATATCAAGGTATTATGTGATTAATTGTACCATACTATCGACTGGAAAAACACGACAATGTAAGTCGTCAAAAGGTATGACATTTGGCACTCGAAGACCTACAGGTCCCGATGTAGCTAGCAGCAAGGTGTAGGATAGTCAATATAGTATAGATCTATACGTAAACTCACGCTCTCCCTCCAAGAGATTCTGGTTGCAACTCGGGCCATGACAATGAAGGCATGCTCCGATACAGTGGATCACACTTATGTTAAAGTATACTAGTATATGTTCTCATCATAGTATCGTTGTATAAGTTCTCATTCTAGTATAGTTGTATATGTTCTCATATTAGTATAGTTGTATATGTTCTCATCCTAGTATAGTTGTATATGCTCTCATCATAGTATAGTTGTATATGTTCTTATAGTAATAAGTAATGACTCATGAATGAACTGACTCTTGTATGCTTCATTAAACTAGAAGTAGTAAGTAGTATAACTCTAAACTATACCTATTATAGTTTATTAGTAAACTTGTTTGTATGATTGAATGTACTGAACTGAGATAAAGTCTTTATATCTATAAATATATACATAATATATAACTAAGCGTTCAACAACACTCGGACAAACAACAGGGTACTTTAAGACCATAACCAAACAAGGACAGGAAGTAAAGTGGGTTATCTCTCCTAAGTCCTTCAAACCTTATTTATATAACTATATATGTAATAGACATGGTTTTAACAATATATAAGTTTGAAAACTATACAATAAAGGTTTAGTATATAAAAGTGAATTTGATAAAGAGTTTGATATGTAAAATAGTTTGATAAACAGTTTGAAGTCATTTGTTTGGTAAAACAGTTTAAAGTATGAAAAATCCATTTGTATGCTAGTTATTAATCACATGTGATTGATCTAATAACTAACATGGTTCAACTTGTATTCCCCCCATAAAGCATTTAAAAACATTAAAAGCATTTCAAAGGTTCATTAAGGGGTATGAACTCACCTGTAGTGAGTGGTTTGTTCGGAAGTGTCGGACAAGGTGCTAGGTGTCAAGTGAGGACTTGAACATTATCATATAATAAACATATATGTATCTAATTAGTTAATTAACAACTACTTAATCAAGTTAAGATACCATAGGTCACGGAAACACTTTGATTCAAGTGTTATAGTGAAACGACCCAAAAATACAACCCAAAAATTTTGTTTTTCGATATAATCAAAACCATAATTAGAGTGTCATATAATAAAACCATACATGATGTATTCCAACATAATAGAAAACACTGTGCAGAAACTGTATCATACTATGGCAAATCAAAACAAACTAAATCAATCCCAGGCTAAAAGCTAAAGCTGTGGTGTGTGCGATGCCGTCACCCCGAGCTCTTCCCTTTGCTTGCGGATGTACCTGAAACCAAAACTGAAACTGTAAGCACGAAGCTTAGTGAGCTCCCCCAAACTACCACATACCATACAATAACATATAAACACATATTGGGCCTTGCCCACTGCATCGGGCCGAATCCCGGAAACTGCATCGGACCGAAGTCCGGAACTGATTGGGACCTTGTCCCCTGCATCGGACCGAAGTCCGGAACTAACTGCATCGGACCGAAGTCCGGAACTGACTGCATCGGATCGAAGTCCGGAACTGACTGGGACCTTGTCCCCTGCATCGGACCGAAGTCCGGAACTAACTGCATCGGACCGAAGTCCGGAACTGACTGGGACCTTGTCGCCTGCATCGGACCGAAGTCCGAAACTGACTGACTGAACATGGCATAGCATAACACATCAACTAGCATAACGCATATACGACATGCTACGTCGGACCGTGGCCCGGAACACATAATACTTAACACATGAAACATAGCACACAAATCCTGTTCGAACCACGAAGGCATCGATCATACCAACTACTGCATCGGACCTAAATCCGGAAACTACTGCTAACTAAACGGGCCGGCATTGTGGCCTTAGACCTGTTCCTACTGGAAGGAAACTCACCTCGTAAGCTGGCTGCTGAGTGTGTGGCTCGGAAAGCTAACGACGGCTGCTCCTGAATCTCCTCGGCTACAAGTCCATAAACACACTCAATCAAATACTAAACACTGCGCTTGGGGTAAAATGACTCTTTTTACCCTTGGTCAAAGTCAACTCTCCTTTGGGCTGACTCGCCGAGTTGGGCCACCCAACTCACCGAGTCCTACTCTCACTTTTCACTTTTACTCATTGCTACTCGTCGAGTCTGGCATCGACTCGATGAGTACCCTCTTGATCCAAGAACTCAGACAATCTTCATCCGACTCGCTGAGTCGTATGAACAGACTCGATGAGTTGTTCTTGATCCCAAGAAGATTGCCTTGGACTCGCCGAGTTGATGAACAACTCGCCGAGTCCCTCCATCACTGAGTTCACCCTCAACTCGCTGAGTCCACTCTCTAACTCACCTCGTCCACTCGACACTGATAAAACTGAAGAACTCGGGACTCACGACCCAACTCGTCGAGTCGTTCTTCCGACTCGCCGAGTTGCCGCCATGCAACCGATTTTTACTTGATTTTGTTTGAATCCAACACATACAATTGATAGATCTGGGTCCAATAAGCTGATTTACCACGTAAAGTTTCCAACTTTACGTGCACAACCTCATAAATAAGGGAAATAAGGCTAAAAGATGCATAAAATGGGTAGATCTATGGTTATCATGCAATATAACTCCAAAAAGACAGTAGATCTGGGCTCTACAACACCCCAACATTCAGATCCATAGATATAGCGACTTAATAAGACGTTCATGCAAGTGTAAGGCTTGGAACAAGCATCAACTAGCTCTTAGGAGAGCTCTAATGGAAGTTTAAAGCATATAACAAGATGGAACTCCGAAAATACCTCAATTAACTCTGATTTGGCCTTGGATCTTTGCACTACAACACTTCTCCTTGCTTCTTCCTTCTTCTCCTTCTTCACACCTTCACAAAATGGCACCAAAACACATATAAGCTCTTCAAGGGAGGATTAGGGTTCTCTCACTGTGTTCTCAGGGTGAGGGAGGCGAGGATGGGGGCTATAAGGTGGTATAAATAGTGGGCAACCCGGGGATTTTAGGGTTTCACCCAGACAGATGGACTCGCCGAGTCAGGGATATGGACTCGCCGAGTCCCTGGCTTACGCGTGCCCTCAGGCGCGACCCTAGTCGGCGAGTCAGGCTAGAACTCGCCGAGTCCCTCTTGAAAAACTCACTGCAATTACCAATAAATCAACATACCGGGAACGGGTCGTTACAATTCTCCCCCACTTGTCTCAGACTTCGTCCTCGAAGTCTGCTACGACTGGATCTGCAAATAACTCTGGGTAGTGCGCTCTCATTTCCTCTTCAGCCTCCCACGTCCACTCAGACCCCTTCCGGTGCTGCCACTGCACCTTTACTAGCTGAATTACCTTGTTCCTCAAGGTCTTGGTCTTCCGTTCCAGAATCGCGACCGGTCTCTCGATATAATTCAGGCCGCTGTCAACCTGGATGTCCTCTAAGGGAACGACTGCTGTCTCATCCACCAAACACTTCCTTAACTGCGACACGTGGAAGGTGTTGTGTATCTGACTAAGCTCATCAGGGAGATCTAACCGATAAGCAACCCGACCCACCCGGGCCAAAACCCTGAAAGGACCAATAAATCTGGGGCCCAATTTGCCCCTCTTCCGGAACCTAATGACACCTTTCCAAGGTGAGACTTTCAGAAGAACCATGTC